GGAATGAAGATCAATTGCTAAAACACGCCGATTAACGCTGATTGACACACCAAATAAGACACTTCAATGATTTGCTCTCTAATTAAGAAAAAGGTTGGCGCTCGAAAATGTCATTCACAAGCCTCCTGTGCACTCCATGGAATCTTCTTGGCAACTATTTGCTCACAAATGCAGTCTGCATATGGCATTAAAGGGCTTTATCAAAATGTCCCTTCCTCCGCGATTGTCAAATGTGCCACCCATATTGATTCCAAAGTCTTACCTCTTCTTCCGCGTCCATCATTTATCTTTAGCGGCCCTAAAGCCTCCACATCTCCACCACCCACTATGTCATACATATTCACTGCTGCCTCTTTCATTTTTCCTATGCTTGTCAGTACAGTACTTGATTCCCTTCCTTTATGCTTTCTGACTGTCCCACTGTCTCCAGGCAACTCAAAGGCTGTTTTATCTTGTTTGGTCCGTATCCCCGACAGACGTCTGTTTTGTACCCTCTCTCCCCGTCGTGAACCTCAGCATATTTCTGGTGAGGATCAAGTCATACTCACCCGCTGAGCACCTTTCAGAATAATTCGAGGAGTGACAGTGTGAAGCGGATGGAGCCCTCTTCAAATTGCTGCTAACGCGGTTATTATTTTTGGCATATAGACCAATCACGGCTATTCGTCAATTCGCAGGTCTGTTAGTTCCTCAATAATTTGATCAGTGTGAAGGTGGTAACGGTTTGATCAATGGACTTAGAATGAAGTAGTCACACATTTCATCCTTTGGCATAGTCTACATGTTCGACAAGAAGATGTATATGTAAAAAATATTCATCAAGTCATAACTCTTGTTCTCTTTGTAATTTTACATAAACAGGTCATTCATATACTTTTTGCTATATAAATATATACAAATGGCTTGCCCATACGAACATTTGCACAATAATCTTGAATCTCAAATGACCTCCTTGTCATGGTTTTGCTCTGTCTGTGTTTTTTGTTTTTATTTTAGCACAAGCTGGAGTGGAGGGCGTGCCTCTTCAGCGGCGCACCCGTCCGTGTCTTGTTCCCAATCAAGCCTGGTCAAGTACTTAAGGACTGCCAAGATCACAAATCTCTGTCGGATTATTAACCTTTCTCGCTGTTTATGCTCAAGTGATATTTTCTAGACTTCTTGTCTATGTTCATAGTCACTTTTGTTTTGCTAGATTCTTGTTTAGTATTTTCATTCTCAAGTCAATTTGGACTACTTTATGGTTCATGTGTTTGGATTCTTGCCATTCGTTTTGAGAAATTTCGGTTGTCAAATTTACCTTGCAGTTGGCAAGCACTTTCTGTTTTTATCAGATTTTCCTGGCTTGTTGTTGCCAGCGGTATCTGTTTTTGCTTTGTCGGTACTTCCGTTTTTCTAGAAATATTTTTTGTAACGCAGAGTTCATCTGAGTCTGCATTTTTAGGATCGACACTCCAACTGGTTCATCTTCGGACCGTGTCATCGGTGATGACTAGGACTCGGTCAGGCAGAGCATCAAGAGGCATTGTGGGTCTGCTTCCCCATGGGCTCACCACCTGTAGGAGGGGCCAAGATGGTCGGGCGCAAAGTGAGCAGGGTGGCAGCCAAAGATCTTGGCGCTGCGATGCCATGCTACCAAAGCTGGCTTTAGACGAGTAGAATGTCATCTCTCTGGCAGGGGAAGGAACGCGACCAAGTCGAGAAGTTCCGGCCAGGTATACTTGGGGTTGCCTTGACACACGACATGGGCTCTGAAGCCAGTCCTTCAGAGAGACGAATGGACTCTCTCCCACTCCAGAGTTGCCCCTGGTGAGAGGCACAGAGCAGTTGTGGGCATGCTTACTGCCCACCGGCTCAGTGCCTGTAAATTGGGGTTCACCCTGGTGGACGAAAGCGAGAGCCCGGGCTGGCAGAAAGGACCACTGCTTCATAGCCCGCTAAACCACAGGTGTCAAAGTCGAGGCCCGGGGGCCAGATCTGGCCCGCCACATCATTTTATGTGGCCCGCGAAAGAAAATCAAGCATGTCAACTTCCGTGATGCTTGCTGAAGTCTGAACCAAAATTTTAAATTGTCATATGTAATCCACAATAACAGTTATTATTCTTGACTTCTGATTTTAAAACTAGTTATTCATTAACTTGTTGTGCGCTATGTATGTAATATGAGGAGGGGATCAAACATTTATAAGATTTCCCAAAATTCATAACGGCCCTCCAAGGCAAACCGTAACTACAATGTGGCCCGCGACAAAAATGAGTTTGACACCCCTGCGCTAAACCGTCATAATGCTTAGCTTCTGTGCGAAGCTTCTTCTGTGGTTACTGATCCAAAACTGCTAGATCCACGCATAAAAACAAGAACTGGCCATCGTAGATAGGTTTAGCCATGAACCACTGTGCTGAAGTTCCAGATTCCACTCATTTGGATGCTGTGTTTATCCTATTTTGGGAAGCTATCATCCGCCAAAGCAGCATGAGTGCTTCCATTGCAATTCCCCTTTTGCTTATTGCTAATCACACATCTACCAAGGCTGCTGTTCGATTTGGGGTGAGATGAGAAAGTGTGTGTAGGTGTTCACATCTACCTACATGCACAAATAATAACTTCTGCATTCCACTGTGTACATTTGGTCGAGTGGGCAACAAGTTTGATGGAGTTTTTTTTTTTTTTTTTTTTTTTGCAGCCAACAATAAACATTCATTGTCTCAATTAACATGACACTACAACATGATAAAAGATCATACTCACTGTCAATATTTTGCCATGAAAATATAGTTTTCTATATTAGAAAATATATAAAATATATCTATATTAGTCTTTCTACAGTAGTCTGCCATATGAAAACAGTACTATATGAAATACATTAATTTTCCTCATAGTTAATCAGGCATATTTTGTCACAATGGACCGACATTTCTGAGAAAGACGCAGCAGAATGCGACTTCTACCAATCTCTCAGTGAACATGTAATGAACCGAAGACTGTGATTATTATGCTCATGCCAAATGTCACACAGGATGAAGCGGCGGTGACTGGTGACGCATGATGACAATTTAGAGGCTTGTCATGTCAAGATAAAAGAAATGATTACATCCTTCCAATCATTGTAATAAGAGTAATTTGAATTTACTCATAATGATACCATGACAATCAAAAGAGGAAAATATTCATTTTGCAAAGTTGTTTGAAAAGTGCAGAATTTCTCTGCGTAAAAGTATCATCAGCCAAGACAAGGACCGTAGATGACATCCTCCAACATCCTTGGATCAAAAAAAAAAAGAAGATAACTAGGAAGGCGTCAAATTATTGCTTCCTTGCAGACGGTTCTATCAGTGAGGAAATCATGGACTTTAATATGATGCAAATTAAACTCAAGGGATCAAAGCCGTCAAGTGCGCCTGCCAAACTACCTTAAGCAAAAATACGTCTCACGCGTGTGGACACTGACAAAGAAAGGAAACGTCAACAGCGAGTCCGAACCAGCAGAGTGGCGCATTAATGTGCACTGCTGAGCACCACAAGATAAACATGCGACATGAGACGACACAATGAACAACAGCAGTACACGCTGCAGCGAGTCCAGTGCACAAGGTTTAAAATCTGAATATGTAGAATGAACTCATTTGGGGTCCCGAATATTTTATCATGGCCAGCAATTTTTACCAATGTCTGTGTATTATCATTCACTGCCCCCCCCAACCAAGAAAACTAGTATTTCCATAGAATATATTCTATATTGTTCTATGTACATGTAGAATTTTTGCCTTGGTCTTGACATGTTACGCAATCGTGAAAACTATCTTTCATTGTGCATCTTCCCAGACAGCATTTAATCTACTCTTACAATTTCAACATTAGCCACTAACGTTCTCACAAAAATCACACTGTAACCTTTTTGGCTTTCATCAAGAGATGTTTGTGTGTAATGGTCCTCCCACATGACATTCGACATCAAATGCATTAGTGAACCAAGAGCCTTTAAATCTGGATTATTTCGCTGAAGAAATGGGTAGAATGTTCCAGCTATAGATAAAACATCCACGTTCACCTTAAAGCACAAATTCCAGAGATGTGCGAATGGCAGTGCAATCAAGAAGATATGAATGCGAATATTGGCTTTTTCAAGGCCAAGGGCAATGAGTGGTGTCATCCAATTCAAAAAGATCTATGCCCATTCAGAGCAAGAACACGTATCGCTAATCCCCAATGACATACAAAACGGGGTAATCTACGTCCTTCCTCGCCCCTCAAAGTTAACGTGACTATACTGCCAACGTATTATATTAATCACTGGTAAGGTGTCAAGAGATCAACAGTACCTGCTATTTCACGATCGTCCCCTGTAATCAATAATACATGACAGCAGACCCTTCTATGTTTTCTTGTTATTTTAAGCAAACCTTACAGGGGCAAGCAGAGCGGCATAATATTGGACTCCGCAAATATGATGCATAATACCCAAAGGAGGCCGCCAGGAAGATTGCATATGCAGTGATATCATTACAACATTGTCAAGGGATAGCCGGTGTGTGCTTCATGACAGCCTTACCAGTGCAATCTGTTGTTATTATCTTCTATTCATCGAGAGAGAAAAAATATATAATAATTTTTCTTATACCGCTGCTGCATCGGACCACATGTGGCTAAACTTACTACTGTCTGCCTTTGACTCGCATGAAACCAACAAGTGCTGGGAACGGGTACTCAAGTGAAACAAGATTCAGTTAAGCTTAATAGGGTTAGTCCTGGGTCAGTATTCACCCTTTCATGGACCAATAATGATAACCTGTTACCAGATAACATGAGAAGCTGTCCACTGTAATAACTGCTGCCCCTGAAAGGGTTAAATTCTGACAGTATGGTAACTGTGCGCAAAAATATTGCAGTTTCACGGGATTAAAATCATAGCTCTAAAATGACACATAGGGACATCTGAAATCACAATAAATGACAATTTTGGTGAATATCTGTCCCATTGAAGACACCCTATTTTATGTTTATATAAAATATCGAATATTTGGTACAGAAGAAATATGTACGAAATACATGTCAAGAAATGTGAACATTCTTCTTCTATTCAAATGCTTCTCACTAAGTCACAGCATTGCATCACTAGGGAGCTATTTTATAGATGAGACCCGTGGACTACATGTTGTCCATGGGGCTAAGGAGCACACGCCGGCGCCATTTTGTTTTCTTTGGGAAATGCACATTAAAAACACCAAAAAAAAAAGCATCCGATTTGCAGTGTCTCTTTCGTCTCGCTCCCTCCCTGCTCCTCCGTGCGTAACTCACTCCTCCCCTTCCGGAAAAAAAAAAGTTCATTGGAAGCAGTTCAATTCTACGAGGTGGCTTGTTTCCTCAACTCTGCAACCAGCCATTCATACTGTGCCTTGCTTAGACGGGCCCTCAAAAAAAAAAAGGGCATTACCGGTGACAGCCAGCTTTCGTTACGGCAATTGAAACCATGACTTTTTAAAACCACAGTAAACCGGCAAACCTGTACTCGGCCCATGCCTAAGTGAGATACACCCATGCCAGTAGTGAGGCCGAATTGAGTACTCACAAATGATTTCTACCAATGCTATTGTATAGCAACATCCGCATGGCTGGCAAAGCTTTTCTTCAACAGTAACATGAAACATGAGTGGCTACCATGGCGTTACATACAGTATGGGCCTTTACTGACTGGAGACATTGTCAGTTTCTTAATAATAGCCTGAAATCGAACATTGGCAAGCTTTCAAGCTTTAAAAGAGGCAATATAAAATTTTTAAGACGACAGAATTATTTCATTCCGTGGTCACACAGCATTTGTTTTATTGTAAGACAAGCCGATGCATTTCAGGAACCTCACTGAAAACACTCACATTTTCTTAATAGCATCCTGAAATCGAAGCTTTGCAAAAAACATGCAAAAGAGGGAAGATTTCATTTTTGAGACCAAACACAATCGTCTCCTGCCGTGGTCACGCAGCATTTGTTTTATCGCAAGACGAGCTGATCTTATTTGGCAGCAGGCGTCTACAATGTCAAACATATTTCTTCATAAGAGACATCCATCCCACACCTTTCCCTGGGCTGTCACCCAAACACATCCACGTCCCTTCCTATTTACACCGGGCCCCTCTCACCGTGCCACGGCCCATCACACCACGCAGGGACACTTGACAGCTGTTTGTTGATGTGGTGCCACAGCTTATTCCCTGTGTCTTGTTTGTTTTGATGTCAGCGTTTCGGGATGACGGATGCTAGATGGGTGGGTGGGGTGAAGGGGCCAGGCGGGGGCGCCTGGTTTCACGGCCCACTCCTGACAACGAGGAACTGACACCATCGAGGAGCTTTTCCTGGATGTCAGGCCAGTTTGAGCTGACCGTCGCATTTCTTTTCTGAATGTTACACGACGGCCTGCAGGCTCCTTTTTCAGGACAGTTAATTCCTGTGAGATGTACGCTATTCCTCAGTGAGGCAAGCGTTTCATCAAAAACCTTGAAAGTGGATAGGAAATGTTTTAAGGGACCTTTTAAACTAAAATACTTTGCTATAAATATCTGTGAAGCTGCTACCATGGATATCTCCAAAAAAGATCCTCGCGCCATCTGTTCCCGAAAGCATACATTTAGTAACATCAATGTATAAATTAGCCGGAGTTCTGCTTGCGGGATACAGCGCGCACACACACACACACACACACACACACACACACACACACACACACACACACACACACACACACACACACACACGCATGTGTAGATATATTTTAATTATACTCATGAAATATTGTCAAATGTCCTTGAGTCACTTGAATAGGACAATACAAATCTAAGCTATTAAGTATTATGATATACAGTATTATGACCTGTCAACCAAGCATAAAATTGAAAGAGAGCTCAAGTAAAACTACTTACCCACTCTGAAGACCCTTTGCTAGATGTAGGAAAGAAGACATGATTGTGGCGTTTCATCACTGGTATAATAACACTTCTTGAGTTCTGCACACTATTTTTTTGTTTTGCTGAAATTGGTCCATTTTAAGGGCCTGTTTGATGCACGTGAGTGACTGGACATTGTGAAACCTATTCCAATACACAAATGCTTAATGTCAATTTCGTTACCTTGATGACCGAAGGTTTAAAGGTTTGATCAGATGAGCAATTGGTGTGAGCTAAGTCCACTACTGAAGTGGGCTCCCGTGAAGAAAAAAAGATTTCATTCCCAGAGGCAGCAGTTTGTACATCACTGCGTGTATGTATGTTGCGCATGGACATCAAACACAAGTAACCCCGGCAACGGCGTCAACAACTTCACTGAGCAATCAAGCATGTCAGATACTCACACAATGCTATGCATCCAAAACAAAACTCGCTGTAGCTCTGCTTACCTTTTGACTTTGACGATTTAGTTTCACGCGTGGGGGATGTCGGTGTTTCTGCATTAACAGTTTCAGACAATGTTGGAGCTTCAAAGTAGCTCAGGAAGTCCGACCAGCCAAGCTGATCATGTCATGGGCAGAGAAACACTTGATTATAATGTAAAGTGCAGAATGGTTCACTCAAAGACACATCTGGAGGAATGAGTAAAAAAAAAACAACAAAAAAAAAACTTACCTGGTTTTTAAATTTCACACTTGATGAGAAGGAAGGCACTTCAGGGAACCAATTATCTGAATACAAGCAACAAAAAAACAATTTTCCATAAAATATCCCCTTTAAGCAATTGCTTACTGAAAAATGTCAGTTGTTGGCAAGCCTCACAGGTCATTATTTTGCTTGTCATGAGCTTTTATGTATTTGATTATTGCCATTTCATACATTTTATTAATTGGATTGCTCATATAGAGCAGCAAGGCCCTTTGAAGTCATCGTAAGTTGCCTTTCTGGTTCTAAGGTTATCATCATCCTTTTCCTCTTTGCGGTGATGTCACAAAAAAGCTTTTAAAAAAAATTAAAACACAATAAAACAAGTGACAAGCTCATGAAGCATGATGACAATTTCAACTCTTAATTTTGTTGACTTTGATGACTTTTTTTCACCCTAAAACATTTTGACCTGGACTTGACTTGACTCTATGAATACTAAAATCTGCCACATCCAAATGTATCCTACAATAGAAAAAGAAAACAGCCCAGGTTATACTGGATCAACAATCTGTTAGCCAAGGCTAACCCAAAGCTTTGTTTTTGTTTTTTTGCTGCTGTGTGATGAGAACTTATTGTCAGTCTGGTACCCAAGCCAGTCATCAATCTTTGTTCTGAATATATCTCGTAAGTCATGTGTTGACAACTCGATTTCCTGAATAGGCCCAAATAAATTATCCTCCATATTGACGGGTCACAACATGAAAATGAATCTGCTCAGAATTCCCACAGGGTGTTGACAAAAGCACTCACTAGAATGAAAGGAAACGTCACCTGTCATGGCCAATAACCACAGCCAGTCCATCTTACACCTCGACTCCCACCCACCAGCTAACCACCTGATGCGCTGCACATCACAGTCACTTTGAGTGACGTCCTCAACATTTCGGGGAACATTCAATCTATCAGAAGGTTGGGACGTTAAAAGCATTATTTTGCATGTGTCACCATGCAGTACGTGAGATCAACTGGAAGGCTTACCTTACTGATTAGGGCTGGACAATGAATCAAAACATAATCATAATTTCTGTGTCGGCTTCTCACGATCATAAAAGCATTATAATAGAAGAAAAAATGTTTCATCGGCCAAACGGCGCGGTGTGTATGTATGTAAGTTCCTGCGCAGTGAATGTGACGTGTTACTCGCAGCAAACATTAGAGACATGTTCTTCTGCCGTCCCTGAAGCGTGCTTTAAGCTGTTTATTGACACCGGAGTTTACTGTACAGTAGAACTAAGCACACAACAAAAAGAATTACACACATTGTATATTTACAAAAAAAACTGTTCACTTTAGATACATCAAAAGCTCAATGCTAGCTACTCAGTGGAAAACCCTGTTGATAAGCTAGCAAAAGTTAGCATTGGGGATTTACCTTCAAAGAACCATTATTCACACACAAACGCAGTAGGAGCACATATAGACATGTAGAATTCACTCTGTGAAAAGCGAGCTACATTAGTACTGTTTTTTTGACTGTTGTTTGTTTTCCAAAATCACATGATACTGATACAGGAGCTTATAACAAATAAATACAAGAGTGTCTGAAGCCCAGTAGTCTGCCTGTCATTGAAATGAGAATTCATAATTAAATTGTGATGTTATGACAGTGAAAAGAATTTTTTCTTTGCCATAAATAGGGTCTATGATTCCAGCGTGTTGATATTTTTTCCGAAAGTATCAAAGTTAAGTTGAGTAACAAAAAAGAGAAAACCTGAGCAGAAAAGGCCAACGACACCATTAGATTTGAATACAATCATCTGCACGATGCATTTTATCTTCAAATTACACAAATAACCTTTTATTTTCTCCCTAACCAGATAGTGGAATGGACACATTTAGAGTACAGAGCACTGCTGTCATGACCAAAGCTTTTTTTCATGAACAGTCGCTTGATGAGTAGCCCCAGTGGGTTTTAAAAGTGTGCTAACTCAAAAATAGATGAAACCAATGTTCAGTCTGTCAGGCGTTTGTTTTGCGTAGCGTGCAACACAAATACTTTGATCCGCAAATGAGTCACCTCTGTTTCTGTGCGCTGACACACTTTTCATGTTCGCTTATGTTTAAAACGCCATGCGTGCGGGATGCAAAGAAACAGGAGGCAGGCGTTCATACGAGTGAAATGTGAACGTGTAACATCACCTGGATGTTGCAAAAAGTGCAGTTGCGGTTGCGTGTTTCCTTTTGTGCTTGGGCACGAGAAGCAAAGAGCATCATGATGCACACTGTGTATAACAGCAAACTGTACCTGTATTTTCTCGTCTAGAAGCAAAGCTACATTGACTAAAAAAATACCAAAATCATTTATTATGCTGCCCTGAAAAGTCAAAATCAAAACTCGGGACAGGACAGGCATCGACGACCTTGCGGCCACAGCTCCAAACGGCCGCCTCAACAATGGAGGCGCGAAACACGGTCCACTCTGACTCGATGTCCCATGCCTCCCCCCCAGATGTGGGCAAAGTTCAGCCAGAGGTGAGAGTTGAAACTCTTTCTGACAGGGTTTTCTGCCAGGCTTTCCCAGCAAACCCTCACAATACGTTTGGGTCTGCCAGGGCCGACCGGCAACTTCCCCCACCATCAGAGCCAACACACCGCCAGCTGGTGATCAGTTGCATTGGCACAAACAACATTCAGGACCCGTGTCCTCACTCAAAGGCGCGAGTAGGCTACCCTCTCGTCCATCGAGGTGAACCCCAATATATAGACACCAAGCGGGGGGGGGGATAAGTTATGCCCACACCTGCTTGGTGCCTCTCACCTTGGGCAACTCCAGAATGGAGGAGTGTTCAACTCCTCCCAAGGGGACTGGTACCAGAGCCTCAGCTGTGCGTGGAGGCGAGCCCGACTATACCTTGTCGGAACTTCTCAACCTCACACACCAACTCAGGCTCCTTCCCTGTCAGAGAGGTGATATTCCATGTCCCTAGAGTTTGTTTCTGTTGCCAGGGATCAGACCGCCAAGGTCGCTTTTGCCGCCGTCCAGCTCACAGGGCACCTGACCCCTTTGGCCCCTCCCACAGGTGGTGAAGCCCATTGGAAGGGGGACCCATGTTGCCTTTTCGGGGTAAACCTGGCCTGGCCCCATAGGTACAGGCCCGGATACGAGGCGTTCGCCAGTGAGCCCCCACCTTCAGACCTGGCTCCAGAGTGAGCCCCGGTGACCCACGTCCGGGCAAGGGAGAACGTGTTCAAATTTGATTTCTGAGCTGTGCTTTGTCTGGTCCCTCACCAAGGACCTGTTTGCCAAGGGTGACCTTGCCAGGGGCCTAAAGCCCCAGACAACTTAGCTCCTAGGATCTTCAGGACATGCAAACCCCTCGACTACGTTTAGGTGACGGCTCATGGAGGGGCTCTCCGGAGTCCAATCTCTGAAAAGTGGACTTGATCACACCAAGCCCTTAATTGTGGAACGTGTGAGCCATCTCAGTCTTAGCTTATCTTGGCAATTAGCACGGTTTCTCTGCCTTTCCTCATCAAGCCTTCGTGAGAACGATACTTGTCAGATGTGTAGCTCGTTATATACCTCACAAATGCCCCTGATACAGGTTAGTTCCGTCAACGCATCATATTTTCTTCATACACTGAGTATGGCTTTGGAAAGGGCTTTTCAGGTTAAACTATCAGTCTCGGCCAGAAGGAAAGTGACACGGGAAAATTGCAACCCCTTTGGAAGACACTGCAGCAATGTCTTGTTAAAGTGACAGGATCGTCTACTTTGCCGTGATGTGGCAAGAGCAGCCATTTATTAGCTTTTTACGTCTTTCCTCACCTTGGTTCTTATCAGCGAGCTGTCAAAATAATCTCGAAGAGTGAGTCAGAGTATTAGGTGGGATATTTGTAAATGTGTTGTGCTCTCCAGTGGGGCCTGTGAAGTTGAACACAAACTGTTCCAGCTGCTGGGGGAACCGGAGTACCCGGAGAAAACCCACGCTGGCACAGGGAGAACATGCAAACTCCACACCGGAAGGTCGGAGCCAGAATTGCGCCCTGCAACTCTGCACTGTGAGGCGGATATGCTGTTTGTGAATTAATGTGTGTTGGTTTCCTTTGTTGAATTCATGGGTGTGTTACACGCTGTCACCATCTCGCACTGTGAAAAATGTCGCATTTAAGTGCAAAATTGCCCTTCAGCTTTTTTCCTCTCAGCCTAAAAGCCCTTTGCCGTTTTCCCTTTCCTCCTTTCCTGACAAGAACACAGGTGATGTTTTACTCTGCTGGGAGAGGGGGAAAAAAAAAAAAACAGGGGTGATCACCGTCTCTCAAATCATCGCTTTCCTCCATTACCTCCCCATCACATGACGAAGTCTCGCTGCTCCAAAGGGTTAGAAATTCATTGGAACAGGTGGAGCTGTGGACCATATCCCATTAGCGAGCCTGCCAAAGGCCCATTCCGGGAGGAGTAAATCCTGCTCTTCATGCACCATAGGCACAAACTAATGTATGGAGGGAAAAATACATAGGCAAAGCCCCCTCTTTAGTAGAACCCGGCGAGCGAATGATGAACATAAAGATCACCATTTTAATGAAATGTTTTTAAAACACCAAACTTCCCATTTGTGGTGGTTTCGAGAAACAGTCATTTGCTATTAAAGTCAGCAGCTGAAAAAAAAGCACTGCCGGCATGTGGAGCCTGTCATGGGTGCATGTGAAGGGCAGGCGGACTAATGTCGGACTTGGGACTGACTCGGCTCTTTGCTCCCCCCGCCGGCTTTGTGACTCTTCCCACATGGCAGCGCATATAATGGCAACACTCGCCTTTCTATACATAGACCAAGACACAATGTCAAAAGCAATGACAATGGTGGGTCGTCCTGATTAGTTCAACTGGTTTTGTTGGGATGAGGACACGGGACAAAAACCTTGGTCTGGAAACCTTCACAAAACAATGCTATGTATGTTGTATTGATGTAGATCAGGAGTGCCCAAATTTTTTTGGACCAAAGATCGACATTTCGACCAACCAACCCCCCACGATCGACCCGTTACCGCGCACGCACATACACGCGCACGCCATGATGAGCAG